GGTGTGGGCCGAGTCAGGGTGGAAAGGATCAGGGAGCCTCAGAGCCTGAGAGAGAAGACAGCCAAGATGGCATCTCCTGCAACCCTCCAGGACAGGGGACAGGAGCATGAAGACAGTGGCCCCAGGAGGCCACACAGAGCCCACCTGTGCAGGTTGAACTGTCTCCCCTAAAAGTCACATGGGGAGCCCTGAACCCCAGACCCCAGAATGGGACTGGATTTGGAGACAGGGCTTTCAGAGGCACAGCTAAGGGAAAAGGAGGCCATTAGGGTGTCCTGAACCCAGCAGGACCACACCTTCATCAAAAGGAAAATGGTAGGGCCAGGCATGGTGGTGCACACCTCTAATCCTAGCACTCGGGAGGCTGAGCCAAGAGGGTCACTGAGAGTTCGAGGCCAGCCTGATCTGCATAGCGAGACCCTGTCTCAAAAAAGAAAAAAAAAAAGGAGGGGGAGAATGGTATATATCTGCTGAAGTACCACACTCTATAAACATGCATATTTATTACGTGTTAAAAATTTAAATGCTTAAAGGATTGGAAGTAAATGCCAACTGCCCCAGTTTGATCACTACACTGTATACAGGTGGTGTTACCACGCTGCACAATAAATAGGAATGACTAATTTTTAAAGGAAAAATCTCCCCGGTCAGCAAGTGTCTGGGCTGACAACACACACAAGGGCCCGATGGGTGCTGACCGGCCCAGGCCGCCCAGCAGGAAGCATGTCTGGGGCTGCAGATCCGAGCATGGGCCCTGGGGGATCCACGGTCCACACAGCCTCCCCTCGGCTCCCGTGGCCAGTCTGTGCTGGGGCTTGCACTCAGCCACCGCGCCACTGCCCGGACCACCATGCTGCAAGTGGGCAGACCGCTCAGCTGGAAGAGAAGCAGGCCTGCCAGGCCCCCGCAGCTCTCAGCTTCCCAGGGGCCGACCCTCCACTGCCCCACCCCTGCTCAGGCCCTAGCCCTGCACACACCAGCCTGGCTGGGGTCCGGCCGCTCCACTGTACACCGTCATCGACGACAACGGACGACCCAGGACAGCCCTGGCCTGGAGTCCAGCCTGATGCCTGTGAGGGCCCAGAGGTGCCCTTGGCTCCCCTCCCGTCCCTGGCCCCAGGAGAACACCCTCTGCCTGGAGAGCCGGGCCACTGTAACAATGCCTTGGACAGACGGGGGCTTCTGCAGTGGACAGCACCCCGACAGCGCTGGAGACCGAAGCCCACCCGAGGGACTCAGAATGTGCCCAGCACCACTGTGACAGCACACAGTGGCACCACCCACCCCAGGGGGCTGGCGGGCCCATCACCCACAGACCCTCCCCTGAGGCGGGACGTGGGAGCCCTGCACCAAGAGCTCCTCCTCAGCAGACACGGGTTGGGTTAGCCCAGTGGGGCAGGCACCCTGGGGTGAGCTGAGGTGCCCAGCAGTCTGGGACAGGGCACTGCCACCAGGGCGGGCGGGGCAGGAAGTGGACCCGGCCGCTGCTGGGCCAAGGCGCCTGTGAATCGGTGGTTCTGCAAGCACCAGGGCCGAACTGGCTGGCTCGGTACACACGGTGATGCCAGGCTTTGGGTGTTCTGCCTGCTGCAGGCGCAGTGGGCACACCAGTCCCCAGCTGGCATGAGAAGCACTATCACCCACATGCTGCCAGCAGGCCCACGGCTGAGCGAGGCTCGGCACCTCGGAGACCACACAGCCTGTAGCTGGCAGGGCAGCGCCGGAACCGGGCCTGGCCCCTTCACTTCCTGGCTCTTCTCGCGTCCTCCTGAGCCCCTGGGCCAAGGAAGACTGTCACTGGGAAAGCATTTCCTGAGTGTCTAACTAAAGCTGGGCACCCAGCTACTAGCCAACAGCTGGGAGAGGACAGAGGGCCGAGCTCTGGGCAGCCAGTCCACACACCGTCCCAGTTGCTCAGCGGGGCGCTCCACGAAGCCCAGGGATCGAGGTGTCGGCTCCCAAGCATGGGGCGGCTGTGGGCAGGCAGGGTGCGCCCACCTCGGTCCCCGATGGCCGGCATGACCAGGACCCGCTCTGCCAGATGGGCCCAGAGTCGAGGTGGGGACAACCAGCTGGGACCCTGGCCCAGAACCACTGCTGGCCTGGGGAGACACGAGCGGCCCAAGTTCAACCACAAAAACAACTTGGGAGAAACCCTATCAGTGCGCGGAAGGGGAACACGACAAATCCCGCCGTCCTCCTCCCCTGAGATGACCACCCGGCTGTGGGCGGCCGCCCACCCTGTGACTCTGCATGCCGGGGTAGGACGAGGTGACCCGGTGCAGTCATAATTACGGTGCCCGAGCCTGTGCCTGGCCCTCATGTCCGGGCTGTGTCATCTCCAGGACGGCCCCAGCCCAGCTCGGTGGAGGCGCCCGGCGTACACAGCTTCTCACTGCTGCAACAGAGCGCACACTCCGTGCAATCCACCTGTTCAAAACGCTCAGTTTGCCAGTTTTTCATATATGCCCAGGACTCTGGGTCAAACGCCATAACCTAATTTAGAAAATTGCTGCCACCCCAGAAGGAACCCTCTCCCAGTTTCAATCCGGGCCATCATTCCTCCTCCCCACCCCTCAGCAATGGATCCATCCCTGCAGATTGGTGGGCGCTGGGCGTCTCACACACATGGAGTCAGCGGCCTTCGGGGACTGGCTTGCTTGTGGTGAAAGGCATTGGTGTGTCGCTGCCTTCGTGGCTGAGCGCTCTTCCAGCACATGGACAGAGCACATGTTGTACGGCCATTTATCCGCTGTTTCCATCTTGGCTGCTACAAGCATTTGTGCGCTCATTCTGGGTGCTGTGTGCTTTCTTTGCTCCGGGGTATATGCTAGGAGTAGAATGCTGGGTCACGGGCCATTCTGTGTAACACTTTGAGGGGCCGCTGGACTGCTGCACGGCCGCTGTTCCCACGTGGCTGATTCCTCCACACCCTCAGCACCAACTCTGGTTTGCTTGACTGATTCTAGCCTGCTAGAGAGTGTGAAGTGCCCTCCCCCTCCTCCAGGTGGGGCTGAACCCAGGGCCTTTGCACTGACCTCCATCCCCAGTCCTTTTCAACTTTTGATTTTGACAGTTTTTGTTTTTTGTTTTGGTACCAGGATTGAACTCTGGACCTTATGCTTGTGAGGCAGGCTCGGTGCCACTGAGCTACATCCCCAGCCACTAAGCTTTTGATTTTGAGACAGGGTCTTGCTAAGTTGTCCAGGCTGGGCTTGGACTTGTGATCCTCCTGCCTCAGCCTCCCAGAGCGCTGGGATGACAGGTGTGCGGCCCCCACCCACTGGCACCTCGTTTGGGTTTGCATTTCCCCGATGGCTGAAGATGTATGAACACCGTCTTTGTTTGTGAGTTGTTTTTCCACTTCCTTTGCGATGTCTTTCATGACACAAGTGTTTTTAGTTTTGATAAAATCCAATTTTTCTCCTGGGGCTTGTGTGCCTGGTGTCACTTCTAAGAAACTATTGCCTAATCTGAGATAATGAATATTTACTCTTTCTCCTTAGGGTTTGAGTTTTAGCTTTTACTATAATTTTGCATGAGGAACTTTCCATAAATAGAATCACACCCACGCCACCTGTCTCCTGGCCAGAGGCTGTCGCTCCCTCTGAGCTGGGGCCTCGGTGCTGATCCCCCAGCTCGGGGTGCAGACGCCAGCACAGTGTTCGTGTTGTTGCTGTTTGCTCTTTGCCCTCCACATTGTTGCCGGCTGCTGGTGAGGGCTCACGGGGTGTGGGAGGCGCCTGTATCAGCAGGCCGGGAGCCCTGCCAGCCTCCGGCGTGGAAATTCCATTTGGGAAACGGTCGCTGTCAACTGTGCTCAGCTCCGGAATCCACCGGGCGGGGCCAGGCTGCCCCCACCCCAAGTGGACTCACCCTCCACGGCCAGGAGTGGCACGGTCAGCTAGAGCCTGGCCAGAGTGGGAGCCACAGCTATGCCCTTTGGGGGACAAATGCCGAGTGCGGTTCTCTGCCAACCCCAAGAGGAGGCGCTACAGTCAGCCTCTACAGATGGGGCCCTTGAGCCCCAGAGAGGTGCAGGTGTCGCGCTGGGGTCCCCCGAGAGGTCGGCCAGCAGAGCCCAAGGCTTCCCTGTTCTGCTCCAGTCAGAGCAGCTCCTCAGTAACAGCCCAGGATCCTCAGAGTGGGAGCTGAGCAGGAGATGGCACAGGCCAGCAAGGAGGATGCAGGGAGGGGACAGCCCAGGCACAAGGCTCGGCCCCATGCACAGGGTGGGACAGGAAGCCCGAGGGAGGCAGGACTGGTGCAGCTTGGGGCTCCCGAGCTCTGCCCTGTGGCCCTGAGCCGTGGCCTTCTGCTGCTGGGGTCCAGGCCGTCCTGTCACCCTCAGCCAGCAGCCACATTGGCCTCATGCAGGACACGGGCCTTCGGCACGGGCGTGTTGTTTGTATCTGTGTGGCCAGACACACCCTGTTCCCATCAACACCAGAGGAGGGACACCGGGTGACATTCCTTAAAGCCCGGTGCTGGGCGGTGCCCTGCTGGGGAACATCCTGCACGCTCTACACAAACCGCAGTGTCCTGACCTGTCCCCTCCAGATGCCACCGGTCCCCTCCCCCCACCGATGCCTCCAGACACTGCCAGCTGCTTGGGGAGCAACCTGGCCCCTGGCTGAGAAGCACTGCCTCAAAGGAAAGAGGCAAAGAAGGGCGGAGGAGAGAGGGCAGGACAGACGGGGCCCAGTTACCCTGGCCCTGACCCTGGGCCTGCTGGAGCCCGGTCACGGCTCTGACACTCACCACCACGTGACGAGGGCCCAACCCTTCCCCTCCCCGAGCCTCAGCTCATCATCCGTAAGACGCGTCCCCTACTCACACACAGCACTGTCTGAGAGAAAGTCCCCAAGCCTGCACATAGCTGGCGCCGCCAGTGCCGCTCTCCCCAGGATCACAAGGCAGCCAGACCCTCGAGGCTTGTCCGTGGGACCCGAGACCAACTTCTAGCTAGAAACTGAACACAGGGCCACCTCGGGCTTTACCTGTCCCTCCTCCAGGCATCCCCAGGGTGCGGCTCCTCTCAAAGGCTCTGCGCTCTCCCTCCAAGGACAGGCCCCGGCACCAGGGAGCTGCGCTGGCAGCTGCGTGGGCAGAGAGCTCCGCGGTGGGCACCTCTCCCGGTGACATGCCAGAGGTCACGTGGCAGCTGCCACCCCAGGTCCAAGGCGGGCAGGGCCAGGCCCTTCCCGGAACACCAAAATAGCCTCTACCACACTGCCACCCCAAACATACACCTGTTTCCCAGTGTATGGGAAAGGGACACTGAATAGGCCCAGGGGGACAGTTACTGACCCCACGTGCCAGGGCAGGTGGACTTGCAACCCTGCGCTTGTGAGGCAGACACCAGAACCACTGAGCTAAATCCCCAGCCCCCAAATCTTCATCTACATAGTTCCTCATTGTTCTAGGATTATTGCCCCCCTCTGAGTCATTTGCTACATTTGTTTCTCCCGATGTACCGAATGAAGCTATGGCAAGCTCCGGATCTGGGGTCTTTGCTGCCCCGAGCAGCATTGACCAGACCCAAAGCTGAGCTTCTTCTCTAAGTCTCATGTCTGTCCATATATTAATTAGTTCTCCTTGTGCTGTTGTGGCTCACAGGAGACTAGAACTTAATGCAGAGGTTCTAGAGGTTCTTTCCCTGTTCCCTACACAACACCAATGTACCAGAGGGGAAACTGAGGCTGAGGAAGCTTAGACAAGCTACAGGAGGCCCCTGGACAGTGAACAGCAGGGCTTGGGCCCTGCCCACATCTGGCTGCCCAAGACCCTGTATTCAGCAGCTTCCTTATCACTGGGACACAATACCAAACACCCACAGCTTAAAGGAGGAAAGGTATGATTTGGCTCACAGTTTCAGGAGATTCAGTCCATGGTTAGCTGGCTCCAAGGCAGGAGCATCATGGTGGAAGGGTGTGGAGGAGCAAAGCCACAGTCCTCATCCTGGCTAACTGGGCACAGGGTGTGTGCAAGTCAGGTCATGGTAAGAGGCTTTGGGGCAACACCTTTAGGCACAAGTCATATTTCATACCCCCAACAAAACTGCCTCATCCAATTGGCTCTGGGAAAAGAACTGGGGAGCTGGCAGCCAGGTGAATGTCGACTGTACCTCTGGGTCTGACTTAATCATGCTGTTGAAACTTCCACCTCTGCCCACCAAAGGGGTGCTGAGGAGCAGCCATTACAGCAGGAATCCCAAGGGATGTGTGCAATATTCCTTTTTGGAGTCCACAGAGCCCACACTGGGCACATATTTTGTGTTCAAGGCAAAGAATTGGACTCTGTATTAGTCATCTCTCGGTTGCTGGGATAAATACCTGACATACACAGCTTAAAGGACAAAAGCCTTACATTTGGCTCATGGTTTCAGAAGTTTCAGTTCATGGGCAGCTGGCTCCAAGGCAGAAACATCATGGCAGAAGAGCATGGTAGAGCAAAGCTGCTTCTTTCATGCCAACCAGGTAACAGATGGACCAGAAAAGAGCCAGAGAGGGAGGGGCAGAGGCCAGATGTAGAACCAAGGACAGGGCCCCATGACCCACTGGATGTACACATAATGTGCTTTACTAATCCCATGGACGAGGTTGGGGATTTAGCTCAGCGGTTCCACCGCCAGCCTCACAAGCACAAGGACCTGAGTTCGATCCCTGGTACCAAAAAAAAAAGTCACTAATCCCATGGAGTTCTCAAACCAGCCAGCCTGACAATCAAGATGAACCATCACAAGCACCCCTCCTTTGTCAACTTGACGCCCAAACACTCTTGAAACCAAACTTCACCTCCAAAGAGAGTCAAGAACAAGGTCACAATTCCTTCTAAAGTGATGGAACTACTCCACATACAACTGGAAACACTAATTCCTCCTCCAAAGGCTCACAGTTCCAGCACTGCTCAAAGGTACGAGTCCAGAGTCTTCTCTGAGACTCAAGGCAAACTCTTAACTGTAGGCCCCTGCAAAATTCAGAAAGCAGGTAACATATTCCCCAGATACAATGCCACAGGGTCAATGGCTCCTTCTGCCTGGAGGTCAACAGTCCCATCACTTCTTGGCCTTGTAGCTAAGGTCAAGTGTAGAAGTAAACAGTTTTTCCATTCAATGACTCTACCACTGGCTTGTCTTGAAGCCCATGCCCAGCTCAAGGTAGAAGTCTTGCTGGCGACGATGACAATGACAGCAGCTGCCCACTGAATACTCAGCACTGCCACACCAGTATCCCTGCTTTCCCAATGAGAAAACTGAGGCAGTGGATGCCCTGGTGAGAAGCAAGGGTTTTACTCTGACAAGCAGGGGCAGCTGCTGACAGGTTCGCTGGATGCTAGGAGGGAAGTGTCCATCACCAACACCTCCCTGTGGCTGCTGTGTTCCTGAGACGGGCACGCTCATGTGTCCCTGAGACAGGCATGCCCGTGGGGTCCTGGCTGGCATCTGTGCAGGCAGCAGCCCTGGAGGGCTGGCAACAGAGGCCTCAGGGCCTCGGCTGGGCAGCTGCCAGTGCATCAGGTGCCCTCACCTGGGAGGAGACATCAGTCCCCTAACTCCTGGGAGCAACACAGCCTAGCCCAGGAGACCAGTGTGCAAGAGAGGGTACTGAAGCCAGGCTTCTCTCTCCATCTGCACACCCTGCCCGGTCACCCATGGACTCGGCAACACTCCACCCCTCAGGCCCTGCACGTGTGAGTGAGGTGGCCCCACCCCGAGCACAGACTTACTTGAAAGGCCACTCCTAAGGGAGGCCCTCAGCGGCCCAGCCAAGCAGACACCGGTTCCTGGGACATGGCCAGTGGGCATCTGCAGCAGAGTGGCCAGGGTGACACCAGATCCCTGAGGCCGTGCAGAATCCGCATGGGCTCCGGGAAGGCCCGTGTCAGGAAGAATGCTCTGCATTTCGGGGCAATGTGGGTCCTTTCCCTGAGTGCCCAGAGAGAGGCTGGCCTCAGGGCCCAGCCCACACCTGTGCAGGGAGGGGCTGCCCATGCTGGCTGGTCCTGAGCCTCCACTCAGATTTACAAGCATGAAGTCAGCTCCACCTGCCTGCAGCTGGAGACAGTGGCACCATGAGCAGCCCCACGGGACAGATAGGTGGACGGAAGGACTGGGCAGGACCTGACAGGAGGCGCCTAGGATTTGCAGGACGGCAGCACCAGGCCAGCCCAGAGGAGCCAGAAGAGGCCAGCCTGCCCCCATGGAGCAGGGAGGCATCCACCCAGGGACCTCCTGGGCCCCAGCAGGGAGCTAGGGAAGGGGCACGTCCCAGGGGTGGACAGGTGCTGGGCTCCAGTGACCACCTTCTCCTCCTCCACCAAAGACCTGCCTGAGGAAGCACTTGCCTGCTTCCCCCTCTCAGTACCTGACTCAGCAGGCCTGGCCCCACTTCTAGTTCCAGAGCTAAGCCCTGATTGGCTCAAGCTAATTTGAAATCTGCATATCCCGAGGCCTGATTGCTTGAGGGATGAGGGCCTGTACTTGGCCTGGTCCAGCTTCCAGGACCACCGAATTTGTCGAGTTGGGGCCGTGCCACCCTAGTCTGGACCACTAGGCCTCCTGTCCTTTTCTGTGGGTCTGTCTGTAGCCTCCCTCTGCCTCTCTCTCTTAGGAATAAATTCGATGGCATTCAGGGCTCACTCTAATAATCCTGGATTATCTCCCATCTCAACATCGTTAACATAATCCCATCTGCAAGGTCCCCTTTTCCAACTACAATGACTCAGGTTGCAGGCACTAGGGAATGACATACAGGGGGCACTTTCAGCCTATCATGGGCACCTGCAATTTAACTGGTATGAAGTGTAAATATGTAGCAATTTTTTGCCACACAGTACTCACCCTTAGTGCCTGAGATGCGCTCTGCTACTCTGTATTCAGTCCAAGTTCTTACATAAAGGAGTGCTGCAGCGACCCAGTAAACTGATTTCTGTGCCCACGAATGGTGGCCACCCGCAGTGTAGACAGTGCTGTCCTCACTTCCATAGCTGTCCCTGCCAGCGTGGGGACAGCTGTGGAAGTTATGAGGCTGTCAAGCAGCTCCGGAGACAGGCTCTTTATGCACATCTCGAGGTGGGCCCCCACAGCCCACCCAACTCTCCAGCCTGCTCTTGGTACGGCGCCTTGTCCCAACCCACACAGCCACCTCCACAGCGGCCCGCACCCCAGGACCCAGTGCCCAGATGTTTCTGCGTGGGGTAAGGTGTCTGGCAGAGGAAGCCAGCCGCTGGGTACTGCGCTCTGGCCCATCTAGTGGCTCAGGACGGGGCTCTCGGGGAAAAGGAGAGCGAGCCGTGGTCCCAGGTGGCTGTGAACGCTCCCATCCTCACTGAGCTCCAGCGATGCGAGGCTTGCCCCTCCTCCAGGGACCTCGGTCCACACTGTAACACAATTCTCACATCCACCAGCACCATCAGGGCAGCGTTACAGGCTGGGTATCCACCATCCAAAATGCCCAGCACCAGAAGTGCTTCAGACTTCTAGTTTCTGAAAGCATTCAGATTTCCAGAAGTGTTTCCGATGTTGAAATCTTTGCATTTGCATAATGAGATACCTGGGACCCCAGTCTCAACCTGAAATTCACTAATGTTTCACCTCCACCTTAAACACACACCCTGGGGTGACTGAACACCACGTTTTTTTAACAGTTTTGAGCATGAAACAAAGTTTCAGGGTGTGGAATTTTCCATTTGTGGCATTAAGTAGCACTTTGGATTTTTAGATTAAGGATCTCCAACCTCACCCTCTTTACTGAAATCCTCATTTGTGAACAATGCTCAGAAGCCAAGAAGCAAGCAAAATCCAGGGCTTACAAAGCCAGTGGCAGATGGTTGAGATTTTCAACATGACTTTGAAGCAGAGATGACACTGAGTTTCCTAAGGTCCTAAAGCTGTAGGATCCAAGGGACTGAGGCAGCATCCAGCCCCAGGGGAGGGAGCCCAGCGCCCAGCCCACTCTCGCCCGAGCTCTCCGTCCTTGGCGGCAGCTCCCACACGATGCCTGCCCTGGTGCCCTGAGTCCCTCTCAGCCAGCAAACAGAGGGCTGTCACTGCTGTCACACATCACGAGGGCGACTCGGGCGGTCCTGGGTTTGCTCCAAGATCCGCTTCCCAGCAGCCATGTGGGTCCAGC